AGATCACCTAGATCACATGGCATGTCCATGACTAAATTATGAATCTGTTTATTTTGATTATATAATTTATTTTGATTATACAACAAACTAAACTAAACAAAAAACAACAGCCATATAAAAAGCCCCCGGTTCTACCCAATTCACGTTGTGTCGGGTCGGTTCTGCTCGGTGTCCGTGTGTCTCCACGCAGTGTGTCCCTCACTCTGTGGGTGTGGTTATGGGCGGACGTCCGCAGCGGCTTCAACTGTTGTGTTAAAAATAATTAATTAAAAAAATTAAATAAAATAAGCGGTTGTGTTCTTACCATTCGGATTTCACTTTTTATTTACTTATTTTTTGTCGCGGGCTGTTTATAAGTGCTTGTGTAGCCAGTTTGTTGGAAACCTCCCAGTTATCTGCTCAGCTTCATCTCCTTCACCTCTCTCCAGCAAGTGTTTTGCAAGTTCTGCCTTTATCAAGATCACCAAAAAGCTTAGTGGTTTTATCACTGCTTTCACCATGTCATTGTATCGCACCRGGGGCTCGTATTCCAAAACAAAAGCGTCTCTCTCCAGGAGGAAATTTGAACAAGTAACACCKTTCCTCTGCCAATCAATCCAAGGGTTAATCCATGGGCAGAATTCTGCTGACGTCAAAATCGTAAGTGTGCTGTACTCGCTTCTACCCACTTAAAACCACTGGAAAGGAGGTTCTGTGTATGGTTCATCTAATGGAGACGCATTGGGCCGAGACYGAGCASAGTCGAACTTTGTACAAGCCGTGGAGATGGGGCTTCAGTGCTGAGTTCACACACAGTAAGCTGTGACTGAAGCTGAAATAAGTTTAACTTCTAGTTATTCTGTTGTAGCAGACATGAAGAGTAGAGGGAAAACAAAATCGGATTGTTAAAGTTAAAGAACCGTTCTAAGGTCTGAAGAGACTCTGCAGAAATCAGGAGAGAGGACAGTCTGTTGGGTTTGTGGCAAAATCTTTTTTSTTAAATTATTACGATCCCATCTCATTCTTGTGAGATAAGATTTACTGAAAACCTGGTCCAAATCTGTCATTGTTATCTTTATACTGCAGTAGTTTCAATCATAAACACGGAGGCGGCTGCCAAGGTGGGTACAAAACAGGACGAGGTGGGTATGATGTAGGTTTAGGTGAGTAACAAAATAATGTGAATGGTAGGGCTGGGTGATAATACAATAACGACATATATCACAATAATCAGTGTTCAATATTAATGGAAAATGAGTTCAATATTTATAATTTCAGTGGTTATTGTCTGCTAACCGTTTATAACTTTAGCTAAACAACACCAGGAAAGCTAATGTTCATCTTCAAAGTAAAAGCTTCAAGCTGTTAACAAAAAATGCCCACAAAAAAACTAATCGCTTGCACTTTATTTTGAAATGTGTAAACCGGGGTTTCTTTTGTCGACATATTCGAGCTATGGAGCGCTAGCTTGCTGGACCAGTTCACCATTGTAAGCTTAARATGAAATTAATTATTGATTTAGGATCCTGTTACACTGAAATGAGGCATCTAAAAGAGAAGAGGGTCAAAATGACGCCCCAACAGCTTGCCTGCAGATAAACAAGGTAAGTTAGYAAAAACCCTGTGGAGTAACACGCAGCAGCAGTTTCATGCTTCTCCACCGTGCCTCAGAACTGCTTCAAAATAAAAAAGAACAGTGTAAAGTGAAAGGAGTAAATGATGCAACAGCTCAAGAGGAAATTGTGGAGAAAAGAGGAAAAGTCAGCAGTTTGGCAGCATTTCAAAAAAACATCAAGATTAATTTTTTCATTCATTTTTTTAATTAATTTTTTCATAT